AGCATTATTTACTTCGTCATAATTTACTAATTGTTGACTTGATTTGAAAATTAAAGAAGTGTCATCTACAAATAATACTATATCATGGTTATCCCCTACTATGTGAGGTAAGTCATTAATGTACACAAGAAACAGAAAGGGGCCGAGAATTGACACGCCTATTTGTACAGTGGACCCGGAAGAGATTATACTGTTAATGACAACTTTTTGCGTTCTCTTACTTAAATATGAAATAATTAATTTAAGAGCATCACTTCTTAAACCGTAGTGTTGAAGTTACCTGATTAATGTTTCATGGTTAACACAATCGAAGGCCTTGGATAGGTCACAAAATACACCCAAAGCATCCTGTGATTTCTCTCATGCATTAAAGATATATTTAATCAGCTCAACACCGACATCAGTTATCGAGCGACACTTTGTGAAACCAAATTGATTTTTATGAAGTAAATTATTTATATTAAAGAAATTTAACATTTGATCAAGAATTCTTAAAAAAAAAAATCTTACTAAGTGTTGGTACTACAGAAATAGGTCTAAAATTGGCGGGATCTAATGTACTCGTCATAATCATTACAGCCCTTCACAAGTCCACTGCTGAACGTAGGCCTCCCCCAAGAAATGCCACAAAGCATTGAGCCAGAGATTACTTCTATTGTCTCATTTTCTAATTTATATTACTTGGAACTGATTCCAAATTACATATTAAGTCATTATACTGTTCAAAAGAAGCAAAAAGAACACACAAACACATAGCGCTTCTTTCAAAGCACCCTTCATATGGGCTTCCCGAGAAATTGTGCAATTGGATCTCCAGCTTCTTTGCAGATCGGACCATCAAGGTCGTTGTAGACGGTGCATGCTCCGAATACAAGCCTATTAACGCTGGTGTTACACAAGGCTGTATCACCAACGCTGTTTCATGTGCATATCAATGATATATTGCAAACCGGTAACATTGATTGCTATGCGGATGACAGCACTGGTGATGCTCTATACACCGGCCGTGCAAATATTTCTCGGGAAAACATCGCCGAGTACCGGAACAAACTTGTGTCTGAAGTTGAGTCTTTGCTGAACAGTCTCGGATTGGGGGCGACTAAGTCTAGTCCAGCTTAATCCTCATAAGACACAAGTTTGCGCGTTCACCGCTAAAAAGAACCCCTTTGTCGCATCTCCTCAGTTTCAAGGCACTCCCCTTGTTACCTCAGCCAGTATCGGAATCCTCGGCGTCGACATATCGAGTGACGTGCAGTTTCGTGGTCACTTGGAAGAGAAGGCCAAATTGGCCTCTTAAAAGCTTGGCGTGCTCAGCAGAGCGGGACAGTATTTCATGCCGGCACAACGCCTGTAACTTTACAAGGTGCAGGTTCGGCCTCACATGGAATACTGTTCCCAACTCTGCGCTGGGGCTCTCCAGTGCCAACTCCTTCCACTTGACCACATCCAGCGCAGATTGGCTCGAATCGTCGATGACCGTGTCCTTTCCGATCGGCTCGATTCATTGGCGCTGTGAAGAGCTGTTGCATCCCTTTGCCTTTTCTTTCGCATGCAGATTGATCCCAGCCGTCAAATTTCACGAACGCACTTCGCGGCAGAACTCCCGATACCATCCTCATCATCTGGATGATTGGCGGTCCACCACTGTGCGATTTAGATTTTTTCTTCCTCGCACTACTTCCTCGTGAAATCGATTACCACCAGCGATTTTTCCGGACCGATACGACTTAGGGACCTTCAAGAAAAGAGGCTACTCCTTTTTAAAAGGCCGGCAACGCATCTGCATTTACCCTGGTTCCCCTGGTGTTGCAGTTGTTCATGGGCGGCGGTAGTCACTTACCATCAGTTGAGCCGCATGCTCGTTTGCCCCCTCTCCTATAAAAAAAATCCACTAGTAAGGCGATTTACAATTTAAAAAATTAAAATTATTTCATAATTTAGGCTCTTAAAAATCTTGCACTTATCTTATTAAATGTTAATTACATTTAACAATATTAGTGCAAGATTTATCTATCTAACGTTTGGCTTTAAATTACCTATTTTCGATAAAAAATAAAATTCAAAGGGGTTGACGAGTTCCTTGCCGATAATAGTTATCGGTGTTTTTTCCACCTACACAGGCTGCACTAAAAGTTTCGGGAATGGAATATTTCCACTGTTCCTGTCATATTAAAATCTTTTTAATTGAAAACTCCTTGGTTTTAAAAATCTAATACCATTTATTTATTTAAAAAAGATTATCGGTCTTGTCACAAGGTTTTGTCAAACTTGTTTAGTCGTTGAGAAAATGGAATTGACTCGAGAAAATTCAAGGGCGATGATTTGTTATGACTTTCGAAGTGGTTTAACACAAAAACAGTGTGTTGACAGGATAATTTCTGCATTTGCTGAAGAAGCCCCATCCAAAACCACAATTTATCGCTGGTTTGCTGAATTTCAACGTGGACGTGTCAAGCTCAGTGATGATCCCCGTCAAGGTCCTCTAAAAACTGCAGTCACCCAAGAAAACGTTGATGCTGTGCGTAAGCTGATTGAGGAAGATCGACATGTGACATACCGCGAAATTCAGGCAACTTTAGACATTGGCATGAGTCAAATACAAATAATCTTGCATAAACAATTAGGTGTAAAAAGTTGTTTTCCCGATGGATACCGCATTCGCTCTGTGAAGAGCAAAAAGCGGCTCGCGTTACTTGGTGCGTCAGAACTCTCGAAAGATTCCACGCAGGATCCTCAAATGCTGTATACAACATCGTATCAGGTGACGAATCCTGGATATACGCGTACGAACCCGAAACAAAAAACCAGTCACGAGTTTGTGTGTTCGAAAATGAGTTAAAGCCAACAAAAATTGTTCGTTCACGGAGTGTTGCAAAAAAAGTGGTGGCCACGTTTGTCTCCAAAACCGGCCATGTTACGACTATTCCTCTTGAGGGACAAAGAACGGTTAATGCAGAATGGTATGCTAGCATTTGTTTGCCACAGGTCGTTTCTGAACTCCGTAAAGAGAACTGCAACCGCCGCATCATCCTCCATCACGACAATGCGAGTTCTCACATCACACACAAAACAAAAGAGTTTTTAGAGCAAGAAAACATAGAATTATTAGACCATCCGCCGTACAGCCCCGACCTAAGCCCTAATGATTTTTATACTTTCCCTAAAATAAAGAATAAATTGCGTGGACAGAGATTTTCATCACCTGAAGAAGCTGTGGACGCCTACAAAACGGCCATTTTGGAGACCCCAACTTCCGAATGGAATGGTTGCTTCAATGATTGGTTCCATCGTATGGAAAAATGTGTCAAATTTCGCGGGGAATACTTCGAAAAGCAATAAATACATTTTTAAATAGTAATGTGTCACTTCCTTGATTCTCGAAATTTTCAGTGCCGCCCTCGTATATCTGTTTACAGCAATGAAAGTCGCTAACAACAAATAATTATCAAATATTTATTAATTTACAGGTTTAAACGAATGCATTGTTACTACATAAAATGACAAATCTGCTGTAAAGCCAGTATCCACATGATCTAGCATGCTTTTTTTATAGGATAAGAGTGACAAACGAGCATACAGTCCACCTGATGGTAAGTGGTTGCTGTGGCCCATAGACGTCTACATTTATCCTCGATTACGAATCAAAATGCAGATGCGTTGTTATCGGTGAGGTTTAGGATGGAATGCCTCGTTTCCAGTAAAAAGGGTCTCCGGTTCTCTACACTCATCATACGAAACACAGCAGTATTAAGCTGCTATTTTACACAGGTATACTTTACACAGGTATGCTTGATGCACGACAGCTTTGACGTACGTCCGACCCATAGATTACTGGTGCGACCTGTTAATTATCTCAGCAAGACAACAAAAGTAGTGGGGAGGTTCGCTGCTGCCTTAAGCGTCTTATATACGGTCCATCTTGACGTACATCCCACCAAGGTCATGCACGATGCACGATGCTAAACGATAATGAGTAGGCTTGACGTACAGTAAAGACGTACGTTAAGTGACGTACGTTAAGTGACGTACGTCAAGCCTATTCATTGTCGTTTTGCATCGTGCATCGTGCATGACCTTGGCGGGACGTACGTCAAGATGGACCGTGTATAAGACGTTTTACTGGATACAAAATTCATTCAGCGTGTCCAGTAAGCAATTTATAATAATTATTGACGTACGTCAAGCCTACTCATTGTCGTTTTGCATCGTGCTTGGGTCTAAGTGCGTCTGCATGACCTTCGCGTAAGGTGCAGCAAGATGGACCGTGAATAAGATGCTTTAACAGGTATTACCAGATAAAAATATATTATTGACATAAATTACTCTATGCTCTATGATATTGACCATATTGATTTAACAAATTTTTTGTCGGGAACTTGACCGGCTTGTATTATTGTTTAAACAATAGTTTTCTTTACGTTTTACGTAATTTCTGCGCATGTGTACTATGAAATATGCACAAACTAAGAAAAAGTGCTAGCGCAGACATATGTGAGTGGAAATGGTGAAACAAGTGATCCGATGGTGATGTGAATCTCAAGATAAGGTGTCTGTCTGCTTAGGTACTATCACAGAGTACCTTTGTATAAATTATAAACCGAAAGGTACTATAAAGCAATATTATCAGTTGATATTGAGACAAATTAATGAAGAGGTGGCTAAAAAGACAAGCATCCAAGCCAAATATCTTATGAAAAACCAAACCAAATTGATTAATATTTCATGTCAATGATATTCAATATTCATAATTTCATATTTCTTTCTATTTCTCAAGTCGTAAATTGGTGTTTTTTTATTATAAAACATTACTATATTTTTTATTCCAATTACAAAATAAACCCTTCTTAAAAGTTATTGTGGCTTGACTATCAGGTAAGTAGCGTTTCTTTTAAAATTTATTCACATTTACAATCATAAAATGTTAATCACCCATGATAACTAAAACAAATTAGTATTTAAATTCGCAACACTATGTATTCATTATGTACCTACAGACTTTGATGGATCCTTGGGGCAGTGAAGTTAAAAGTGGGTCTGTCGTATCGGAGTTTGAGGATAATTTTACTTCTGCTGATGCTGACGGATTCCAAAAGCTGTCAGACTCAGCTGAATACCTCGCTATCCTCGGTAAAATGATTTTTACATTTTCTTTCCTTTGTATATCTCTATATATTTTAAAATGTAATAGGTTATCAGAGTTCGTGGGTTTCATATTGACACCACACTTTATTGGGTGCATGCGTGTTGTGTTTAAAGCTTTAAAGTATTGTTCATTAGAATAGAATTTGCAAATTAGAACAGTTGTTATTTAAAAAAATAATATTAATTATTATATATATAATTATGAATGCATTTTATTGAAAACAGATCATCTATAGATTATATAAATTTTTTTCAGAGAGGAAACTTAAAGCCGTCAGGTCTAAGAACAAAGTTCTTGAAAACTTGGCTGCTTATAGAGCAGATTGCATTGACCGTTTGATGCGGGATGGTTGTGACTTAGACCCTGTAATTGGAGACACGGAATCTGACAAACTTCTACAGGATTAATTCTTGGTGTATTTTAATATAATCTTGTAAGTAACAATGGCCTCTTCATGTTTCATTGATTTATCTGGACCTACATACTGTGTTGTATCGGGTGCTTCTCACGGCATTGGGAGGGCTATAGCAGTTGAAATTTCTAAGCTTTTAGGTCCTAAATCATTAATGTTATTGTTGGCTCGCAACAATGATGAATTAGCTAAAACAGCATCACTGTGTCAGTCAGATAATGTTAAGGTCACATACAAATCTATTGATTTGGGGAAAGCATCTGTAAATGAGATGAATAATGTTCTTAAAAACTCTCTAGATGGGTACAAAGTGACAGATTTTGCTACTAGCTTAATCTTCCATAATGTGGGCTCCCTAGGTAACTTGGCTATTGAAACTTCACGAATGGAGGATTCCGATGATCTCAGACAATATTATGATTTAAATGTTTTTAAGGTGATATCTTTAAACACACAATTTCTTAAGATTTTTGAGGCTATTGAGGATGGAATTATAATTGTAAATATAACTTCTCTTTGTGCTATTAAACCAATGAGTGGCATGGCGTACTACTGCAGTGGTAAAGCAGCTAGGGAAATGTATTTCAAAGTGCTTGCGGAAGAGAAAAAAAACATTCGGGTGTTGAATTACTCACCAGGACCTGTTGAAACAGCCATGATTGATCAAGTGTTGGATGAGACTGTGAATGACAATCTAAGGGATGTGTTTACATCCTTCAAAAATCAAGGTACACTGTTGAAGCCAGAAATGACGGCTAAGAAATGTATGAAAGTATTACAGGCAGGCAAATTCATTAATGGGGAGCATGTCGATTACTTTGATGACGAATAAATCAAAAATTATAATTTTTTCTATCCAATTCTTAATCTATAAGAATCTCTATTGTAATATTACGTGTGATTGTGCAACTGGTCTGACTTGAGTTTGCCATTGTTGTGACAGTTATGTTATCAGAAAACAGTGGTATGCTGTGTAATTGGAGATTGGAGAGTGGGGACCACCCCATGGTTGTAACCAATATTTCTTTCGGGGGTAGACCTATTGGTGCACAGACCTGTTGAAATACAGCTACAGTGTTAGATTTTTCTCAATTGGATTTGGGAGTCTAAGAATCTATATAAGGGTGTATGAAATTTTTAAGGCAGTAACATTCATCAAGGCCCCTTCCTGCCTTTTCCTAGCTATGTCTATGGCCCACATACCATGCATTGGCAAACTTGAATCAGGCTAGTTGTAGTATATTTTATTAATTAATAAATAAGAAAACTTATGAAATCTTTTAGTAATGGCTTAAATGTACGAGTGTACAACAATAATTTGATGTCTAAGTAATAAATATATCATGTGCAAAGTAACATTCCTACTAATATTCCTTGTATTTAAATGTTTACTGTAAAAATATATACTTTATAAATTTCTCTATGAATGCAATTCATATTAATAATAAATGCTTTATAATTGATTTTGTGTTTTTAATGACCCTATACCATTTGAAAATAATATGAGTTACATTCATATAATGTTACATCATTTACCTATTTCAGCTTTTATCTATTCAACCTTCACCTTATAAGTTATCTCATCTTCATGTCTCATAGTTATGAATACATTCTTGCTTTTTAAAGCGACAGTAGCCTAATTCTTAAGTGTGTGGACTGTACACTCAGAAATTCATTGATTAAACCCGCCATCTGATTGCTTTGGTGAAACACTCCTGACACAAGTATTTTAAGAGAGTAGATAATGGAATAAATAGTAATAATAGGGTATTCTTAAAATAATTATGGTATATTTTATATTTAGCTTATCCTCATCTATATAATAAATGCTAAAAATTGACAACACAGATTACTAATAGTAAAAGCATTAAAACAAAACGTAACATAAACACTCACGCCTATCACCCAGAGGGTTAGGCAGAGACTACAGAGTTTCATTTGCTAGGTAAAAGAGTAAAAGCTGACTTCAAATAACTCATAATAGCTAGAGAACTGGAGACCATTTTTACTGGAAATGAGACATTATATCTCAGCGCGCTGGGGTGACAACGCCTAATGCAATTTGATTAGTGGATAGATGTAGATGTCTGTGGGTCACAGCATCCACTTACTATACTTCTGTCTGTGTAAAGTTAAAAGCAAATGAGATGATTATTTTCAATTATTAATGTGGCTGTATTTTAATATTAGTTTAGTTTTATTTTATTAAACAATGGATTAGAAATATGTTTGCTCTTCAGAAGTGTTGGAGTCTTAGGTCTATATGTATACTTAAAAGTTTGAGATCATATATGCAGCATTGGACTTTTGATAGGATAATATACTAAATGAATTAATGATTATTAAAAAAGATTAGTTTGAATAATTAATTGGAAACACTAATTTAAATATAAGATAAATAAAATACAGTTTATGCTATAGTGACTCTACAGGAACACACAGGATAATGAGGGGTTTCTTTAAATATTTTAAATAATCAAAGGATGTAATTTATTTGCAGTGTCTTTTAACTGCTATTTTATTTTATCACATTCACTGTCATGAAGTATTTAAACTAGTAAAAAAAATATTGTTTTAATTTATTAGTATTTTTGGAAGCATTTTGATCCCTGGTTTCAGAGGTACATTAGCACTTAGTCTTTAGTACTCAGCTGGTACACAAGCAAAACAAATTTTATTTTCTATTCTTTTGGAAGTCATGCAGTGCCAGTTATAAATCTATGTAGAGGTCCTTAGGCAATGCTCCTCCCATTTTCATCACTTCCTAGAATATAACGTAAAAATGTTTTTCTTTTTAAGACTGCGGATATCCATTATATTAAAGATGTGAATAATTTATTAGCTAAGCATATGATGTGCCACCGTCGATGATGGATGGGGATAGTGCACGCAATTGAGGGAGGGCGGGAGGTGCTCTTCAAACTGGTCAAGACACATTATTTTATTACACGGATCATAGCTGTTTAATTTTTTAACATACTTTAACACTGTAGCAGATCAAATGTTGCTAAGATATATTTAAAACAAAAATGAGAATTTCAGAATAAAATAGAACGCGTGGCAAACGAAAACCAATTTGTATGACTTATCTGTGCAAGTATTAGAACATTTGTGAGATAATAAATTGTATTCTACTTTGTAACTGTGATTTTAATAGAGGTTAGACAAGCTAGGTTCGAGGTTAAACAATGCTCTTCGAGGCCGATAGAAAGGCGAAGTCACTCAAGGTTGTTTGAACATAATTAGTTTCATTCAGATACAAAAGGTTTTAAAAACAAAATAATGATTAGTAGAGTAGAGTACGATGCAGATGTGACGTAAATTTAACTTTATTTTTTTTAACTGAAACGAATACTAAATACATAGTTGTTAGGGTGAACTGCCTATATTTCAAATGAACTGTTTATATTATTTTTACTATTTAAGCCTTCATTACAAAAAAAATTAAAAATTCAAATTCAAATTTATTTAACTGTGGATGCCTTAAATGTGATATGATTAATTCAAAAAACTATTACGTGTAAGTAGCTAAATTATGGTTGTGGCGCGACCGGGGAAGGACCACGTTCTCACAAAATAGCTGTGATGTGATATGGTATTCTGTGAGCGCGAATAACAGCTTAATGCTGCTGTGTTTCGTATGGTGAGTGTAGAAATCCGATCTCTACACTTATCATACACTGGAAACGAGGCATTTTAGTCCTCAGGGGTGACAAAGTATCTGCATTTTGAATCTTTATCAAGTATACATGTAGAGGGCATAGGTCTCACATCCACTTGCCATTATGTGGACTGAGTGCTCGTTAGTCTCCCTTTAAAAAATATTGAATAAATTTGAATATGAACAATATGAATGAATAAGAATCAAATAATAATTATAGTGCATTATTAATTTATTAAATCTATACATATTAATACCCGACGTTTAAAAGCTGTAGGTACTCCGGGTTTACTCTGACATCGGGACGTCAATCACCACAGTCACCCGTGACCACGGGTGCTGTAAAGCACCCGAATGGTCGGAAATTAATAAAAAGAAGATGAATAAGTTAATTAAACGCGAAAAAAATCCGTAAAAGTAGTTTCATTCAATGTGTAGTGTTCGCGTAAATATAAGAAATCGTTATATTAATACAATTTAAGGGTCTGTCAGTAATAACGAAATAGCTGGACTTATTTTGAGCTAAGGGGGTTATTTGCACGTTAAGACGTGAAAAAATCTCTCCGGTTTAATCTTCATTCACGAACAGATAGAGTGTAATGGCAGGAGTCAGTCATTATAGACAATATTTTATTCGAAAAACATGGCAATTAAAAAAAAAAGAAAAATTGATGAAATAGATGGTGTTATGGTTATCCTAACCAGGCAAAGTAGAGGCAGATTGCTGGTATAAAATAAAATTACACAATTATCTAATCAACAAATATCTCAAATTAAAATTAAAAATAATGTTAAATTATATGACTTCTGCTTTAGTAGGTGTAAAATCGATGCTACGTAAGCTAAAATCGTTGTTAGTAACTACTAGATACATTTTGCAGTCTGACAATGACGGCCGGTCGCAAGAGCCTGTTCATCTTCCTGATGAACTTGGCTTGGCGCTGCCGCTTCAGCATGCCACTGCTGCTGAGCGGCACTGTAGCGGTGCTCGGACACGCCTGGATGTTCCAGATCCGCGTGCATACTGTGCACAGACTCCGCGAGAATGAGGTACACACGCCTAAACTATGGTTGCAGCACGAATAGCTCGGCTCGACCGGGGCAGGACCATACCATGTATAATACCAGCTTAAAGCTGATGTTTCGTATGTTGAGTGTAGAGGGTAGGGGACCCTTTTTGCTGGAAAGGGGGCATTTCATCTTAGTCCTCAGGGGTGACAACGCATCTGCATTTTGATTCTTAGTCGAAGATAGGTGTCTATGGGCTACAGCGAATGTGTGCTCGTTTGTCACCTTTATTCTAAAAAAACTGAATAGGTCTACTCGACCGGGGAAAGACCATGCTTGCTCAAAATGCCAGCATAATGCGACTGTTTCTTATAGTGATGTGGACCGGAGATGCTTTTTTATTGGTAACGACGCATTCTATCTCAAGGTGAAACACATCTGGCCATTTTGATTTTAATCAAGGTTTGATATAGGTGTCTATGAGCCATAGTATCTACTTACCATTGGCATTACCATTTCTTCAAAATTAGAAGCCTTCTACGACTGACTTGATAAGCAGGATCCTGTGTCCGTCATATGAACTAACTAGGAAATATCTGAAAAAGCTTAGATCGAAATGCACACTAAGATGGAAAGCCTCGTTTTCAGTAAAAAGGGTCTCCAGTTCTCTACATTCACCATACGGACCACAGTAGCGTTAAGCTGCTATTTTACGCTGGTATTCTGTGAGAGCGTGGTCCTTCCCCGGTCGAGCCGACCCATTCGTGCTACAGCTATGTTTAACATACGTGGTAGAGCCATGCTGCACCCATATTAGTAGTAAATAAATTAATAAAGCTGCTCTGAGTTACCAGAGCATCGTCAAAAGTGTTTTATATGTGGCAGAGACACGCTGCAGCTATATTATGGCTGTAACACGAATGAGTCAATTCGACTGGGGAAGGCTCACGCTCTTACAGAATACCGGCGGGAAATAGCAGCTTAATACTGCTGTGTTTCTTATGGTAAGTGTAGAGAACCGGAGACCCCTTCTACTGGGAAAACGAGGCGTTCCATTCTGGTTCTTGGGGTGACAACGCATCTACATTTTGATTCTTAATCGAGCAAAGATGCAAACGTCTATAGGCCTCAATATCCACTTACCATCGGATGGATTGTGTGCTCGTTTGTCACCCTTATTCTATATTCTGTGAGACGTCTGCCAAGTGTGGTGATTACGTCAAGCAACTATAAAACCATTTGATTATTATAACGAATTACCTCCGTTTATAGATCGGCCATTTGTTTATTAACAAAATGCACAGCGTGCAGGTGAGTTTGTCATTTGAAGTTTTGGAGAAAAAGTCGCTACATTAATTCTTTAAAGACTAGCAATCGTCCACCACTGCTGAACATAAAAACTGCGATTCCCCTGGTGCTGCAGTTGTTCATGGGCGGCGGTCGGCACTTACCATCAGGTGAGTCGTATGCTCGTTTGCCCCCGCTTGAAAACTTAAGCCTCTTCCATAGATTGTCTCATAAGCGGGATAATTTGACCGTGTTCAAAAATTATCAAACCTAAAGCTGGCCAAAATAATGATCCAAGGGCTATTTCTAGTTTATTAAACTCTTTTTTCCAGTTTGTTATTTTAATATAGAAAAATAAGCAAACCCAATTAGACACTTTAAAGTGATATACATCACATTATGTATATGGCTTCTGTCAAAAGAAAAATGCATTTATTTTTCAAGTTTATGTTTATGTTTTTGTTGGTGTTTTTTCTGTAAAGTTTCTGCACAACACGGTCCAATTCACATATTTGCCACTCTTAGCATTTCGGTGGGCAGTTTTTTTTATTATTTGAGTTGTTATTCGTAATGTGTGTATTTATTTATATATGTATATGAATTATATATATTTTATGTATGTGTTGCATGTATATATTTGAACTGAATTATATCATGACAACTTAACTGCCCAAACTCACTCTCTGTTCTACCCAAGGTTAGCTGGTAGAGAATGCCATATAGCATTAAGCTCGCCTTTTCTACAAATATTTAGTGCAATAAACAATAAATAAATAAATAAATAAATAAAAATACTGCTGCCCAACTCCTTTTTCACTACACGGCGCTACATTCCTCAAACTCCTTACACTCCGTCATATTTTTTTTAAAATGTTATAGCTCGCTTACTACGATGAAGACGATCAAGACGATGACGATGACTCTTGGGAAACGGAGTCCACCGATTCCTGGGAGACCATAGTGGAAGAGGTCGCGTACGGTTGACATGGGGCCGGTCGGTGCAGCCATTTCGACGAACATTTTCTCTTGCGTTAATTTGAAATCTCATAAAGGTTTTTATTTGTTATTTTCTCTAATGTTAACGTGCCAAATATAATTATAAGTATACAAATTTATGTTTCGTGTAATTAATTTTTTCATATATTTGAACCGGAGACCCATTTTACTGGAAAAGAGGCATTCCATCTTAGTCCTCACGGGTGACAACGCATCTGCATTTTTATTCTTTATTTAGGATAAATGTAGATGTCTATGGGTCACAGCAACCACTTACCATCAGGTGGACTGAGTGCTCGTTTGTCACCTTATCCTCTAAAAAAGGCATTTCTTAAATTGACATGCCTGCAAATAACCCCCTCTGCTCGATAAAAAGTCAGTTATTTCTACATTTCATACAGGTACTTCAATTTCATTTATCGATATCGATAATAAATTGTATTGAATTTTCCGACTGCATTTTTAATATCTCTATAATAATAAAAATACTATATTAGTGAGCGATTATCCCCTGAACTACCACAGCAGATAGTAGTAGAAATATATAAGTGGTTTCAAAAGTATATTCATTCGTATTAGATATTAGTTTTGGTGTCTGATAAAAAACTCGTCAATGTCTATTTACTTATCGCCGTAGAAAATAGTTGGTGGTGGTTTAATTATAGGCACATAATATAGGAATAGCGAACACACATTTTATTGAATATATTATGTAGGTTACGGTGTAATGCATTTATGTGCGTAGGATTTAAAGTTAGAGTAGTACGTTTCATCTCTATCGCTCAGTTTTATTAGTCCCTACAGATTTCGATTTATGTTGTTTCGTATAAGAGCGGTTCTGGTTTAAATGCCTCAACCATTGACGTTCCATGATTGTGCGTTGAACGTGGTAGAGCCATGTTGCAGTGATGGTTGCAGCACGAATAGGTCGGATCGATAGGACTATGCTCGCGTAGAATATTAATGTACAAGTCGCGGCACGTAAGTCTAGCGCTGAAAGAAACTTGGTGGGGACGCGCACGAATGCGACTGGATAGCCAATCAGCGCGTGCTGACGATACGCACGAGCCAATCAGCGTGCTTATGCGCAATAATGGTCACTGCTAGACTTTCGTGCCGCTACTTATAATAGTGTTATAAATGACTAGAACCGGCGAACATTTTCACTAACGAGAGTAACGAGGCATCTTGCAATGCCTGTTTACTGTTTAACTTAGCTGTCAGATGTAAAAATATAGTTAATACTATAATTCATTAACGTATGTGCGTTTTTATTCTTAATTGATGATTAATATGGCATTAACTTACCATCAGGTGAAGTTATTTGTATAAAATACTGTTCAATTTAAATCTTGCAATACCTGTTTACTATTTAACTTTGCTGTCAGATGTAAAAATATATTAAATATTATAATTCATTAACGTATGTGCGTTTTTATTCTTAATTGAGGATAAATATAGCATTCACTTACCATCAGGTGAAGTTATTAGTATAAAATACTGCTCAAATTAAATCTTGCAATACCTGTTTACTGTGTAACTTTGCTGTCAAATGTAAACATATAGTAAATACTATAATTATTTAATTTATTGTGGCTCAAAAATTAACCTCTAAATGATCTTGTAATGTAGGATGTTACTGATTTTTTGTTATTTAATTATACCACAAGAAAAGCAAGATGTGTTAAATATTCCGTTTTTATTATTTTGGCTGTGTTAGAAATAAAATTTAACCATTTGACGAAGTGTTTTATTTAAAATATAAACCACATAAATAATAATGAAATTTTTGAGTTAAAACATAACTCGTTTATAAACTATTATATTAGTCTTAACGTTTTATAATAACGATAAATTTTAAAATACGATTATAATAAAATGTTGTCTATAGGTAAAAGTTCGTTATTATAACTATGGTATGTAAAGTACAAGGAGGACCATCTCTATATATGAAAAGTGTCCCTGAAATCGCGTCCAATAAGGGTGGCGCTGCAGTAGCATAGGATAAATTTAAAAAAAAGCGCCAAAAGTAATCAGAATAAGATGGAGAAATAAACAAGGACCGACCAATCCGCTTGGTTTTGTACTACGTAAATAGTTGAGATTTTGTATACTGGCTGGAGATTTTACTAACTACTCTAGTCATGAAATTTTTTAAATATTTTAATTCAGCTGACTTCACTCCGTTCACAACAGCTATCTTCATATCGTAGTTTTTCAGACGCTAGCGCTATTGTGGTAAGTTTGGGAACCTCTATTTTGAGTAAATAGTAGGACACTTTTTCAACTTTCGCCCCTTATAAGATGGTTCTCCTTGCCTATGATCATAACCGTACAACAGTTACAGACAAGAAATCATAGAAGTAAAAAACAATATTATAAAAAGTTACAACAATAGTTAAAACGTTAAAAGGCCCGAACAATAATTTTAAATTCATAGTTTTAAATAGTTTGGAAAATCCAAAAGTGCACGCCTCATGAGCTTTTCATTTAGTTTTAATGAAAAAAAAAACCAAAATAAATCGATTACACAAAGTATAAAATCGATGTAGGCTGTATAGTACGTTAGTCCTTTGCATTGATTACTATATATATACTAGAGTCCTTTGTCTATCAAGGGCTAAATAAGAAAATGAAAGCGCCTTTAAATTATTAATAGCAATAAAATTTATAAAACTTGAGAATAATTTTATTAACAAACGACACGTACTAGGCTATTGATATGAAATACGGGACCAATTGACGTAATTCTGAAAAAAAAAAACTCAGTCTCGATACTTCAATTTTTTCGAGTGTTATCGTGACCACATATAAAATCAACATCCGGACATCCACGTAAAATTTATTTCAAAATGTTGTTTTTTTATAAAATATAAGATGGATTAATCAGTGTTTTCTTGATATACGCCTACTCATATTATCGTATAAGTGGAATATGGTTATGATAGAGGCATTTTAAGATCACAAAATTGCTTGACCTTGACGTGTCGAGAGTAATACACTACCTAATAATATGTACGGTTATGAGGCGTGTGAAAATTATACATGCCAAGAATAGGCAATATTACATTAACCTGCAATTAGTAATATTAGCCTTTGAAAAACCGTCGTCATTCATTTCTTATAACATTTTATTTTCGAAATCTTAAGGACAACGATCTCTATCCCTCTGACAGCTATATATATATCATAAATTGTAACTAAAATTAAACTGTATTACAATTTTTGCCGTGAATGGAAAAGGGAACATCTCCCGCCGGGCAGGCAAGGTATTCAGCCCAAAGAGTGGCCAACGCTCCATGCGGTATATATATCTACGAGCACACAGTACCTAAGTACCTGTTAATAGTAATTGGCTACTGAAGCCCACGGCCCCTGTAACTGAGACTTCAAGCAAAGATGGCTGGCTATACTGTCACCTCCGAGGACCAACAAAAATGCCTGACGGACTATAATCATACTCGCTTTCGCGCTCTTCAAACCAGAACACAGCAGTTCGGGCAATAGGTTCTGGGCTCTTATATGTTTGCAAGGTGTACATATTATATTAAGAACTATTCATTACACAAAATAACAAAAGTAATTAAAATAGGAATTTACGAGACCCGACGATTTCCGTTGTATAACTTAACGTCTGCGACATTAACTCGGTCGCATTTCATAATATACTTTGATGTAGTTGAAATTATATCGTGTGAATATCCATAAATTGTATTCGGTTCCGTTGTTTTGTTATAATGTCATCGTCACTGCCACAGTTTAGCCACATATATCCTACGCTCTGTGGTCACTGCATATAAATCGATTTAAAATTGCTTTCATTTCAAGTCACTTTATCTTCATTACATCTTAAAATGTTTGTTATTGCGCCATCCCGTTGTTAATGGAAAAGCTGTGGTAGCAAAGAAACAGCGCTCGCCGTAAATTTCACCGTACGGGGGCAATCTGGGTTCGATCCCCGCAGGCTCCAATGAAATTGTTAATTGTAATTTTAAGTGCCGTTTTACCACATGCTCGGAGGTGAAGGAAAACATTTATATGATACGTGTATGCCCGAAAACTAAAATATTTCTAAGATATTTGAAGTTCGCCAACACGCACTGGAGCAACGTGGTGGACTAAACGCTCCATATCCCTCTCTGTAATAGGAGGAGGCCTGTCTAGTAGTAGGACGAAAATAAGCTCTTACTTATTTGTTTAGTAATGGTCGAGTGGTTGTACGAATGGCGTAAGTATATCTCCGATTTTGTGAATGCGAGTTTTCATCAGATCTCCACGTTTTGAGGTCCTTGATAGCCGTCCCGACTCGACTGTTCGCGGGTGGACGTCTGACCGCGCGCGCTTTGTGTGTGTGTGTGTGTGTGTGTGTGTGTGTGTGTGTGTGTGTGTGTGTGTGTGTGTGTGTGTGTGTGTGTGTGTGCGTGTGCGCGTGCGTGTACGTTTGCGTGTACGTGTGCGTATGTGTGTGAGTGTACGTGTGCGTGGGTGTGTGTAAAATAATAAATAAGTAATATAATATTATAAATAGTAAATAAAATTTTGTCGTACGATATCTTTAGACCGAATCAACCGATCGAGATGGGCGACACGGCGTTCGAATGTTCATTGAGACTTCAAGCTGATTAGATATTCAAGTCAATCGTTTGAGCTGTTTCAAAGATTTTCAAAAAATAAAAACCACAAAAAAAAAACAAAAATTAAATAGATTTTCGAGCCTTGCGCTAGAAAATAAGCGGGAAGTTCCAGGGATGGCTTGCAGGGTCAACCTAGATTTTTTTGATTTTTTTCAGTGTATTTTCTTTTAGTTACTTACTCGAAACGAATTGTTAGATAGAATAAACTCTATTACGTATGATCAAAATAGCCAGGAAACTCCGTTCTACGTATTACCGAGCAGTGGACTTCCTCTTTCTTTATAAGCGAACTAGCTGTGCCCCGCGGTTTCACCCGCGTATATCACGCGTTTACGCCATGTGACATGCGAACTT